ACAAGGCCAGGATTGACTGACTGACACTGAGTACCTGAAATGTTACTCGCCACGGCCAATCCTTTAATTTACTTATTCTACACAGAAATTTTGGTATTTTCACGATTGAATCAAGGATGAAGGGGAGGGGGTGAGAATTTCTCTTCTTGTGCATACTCTGTTGCTAAATCAAAACAGCTAAAAGGTTATTATTATGAAACCAGAGCAGCTTAGAGTTCGCGGTCTGTTATAAGTTTTATATTGTCCGGAACGTTCTTTGTAGACACAACTGCATCGCAATGGTTCAATTTGAAATAAAGCTCCCAAGTTTCTTATACTAAGTCGTTGAAAATTTCAGTAAGGCAAAAGGAATTTGTGGTTTAATGCTCAAACCTCTAAGGCGCCAAATCACTGTGTAGAAAGAAGAAGAAGAAATACCTAACCCCACCCTTTTTCTCCTTACGGTTAGATAGCGCCACTCATAATCCTTATTCAGATTTAAGCTGACGACTGACTTTAATTAAACTCGGTCCAGACCCTCATCTAAGAAGGCATGTTACATCATAAGAAATGTATGGCGTAGTGGGTAGTCGCTAGTTAATGATATTAAGGGAAGCGCTTACAATAATAATGTTTTGCACCTGGTCATTAGAAATTGGTTCACATAAAATATACAGATTGTTTGCCTTAAGAATATAAGAGGAAAAATAGCCTTTTTCTATGTTTATATAAAGGGTAACAGGAAAACCTATGTAAAATTTTGCAGCGAATAAATGGTAGCAACAACATGAAAATACTGTCACAAGTCCTTATTTTCTCAGGTTTTAAATGTCAGTTTCTACGACACATGTCATACCACCAATGCATCACGATTCCAACTGAATACCGTTAGTTAAACCAAACTATACTGATCACAGTTAATCAGGACGGCGATGGTAATTAGAACGTGGAAAAACGAAAGATTCCATAAGCAGCAAAATATCTCCGCTTGAGCCTTTTCAAACTTTGTATGAAAACTTATCACGCGCTCTGGGAGTGGACAAACCATTATCATTTAATTAAGGAATTTCAAATCCATGCACGCTGCACCTCTGCACTGCTTTCTCTCAGATAGCATGATTCCTTAGTTAAATACTTTTAACTTGAAACCGCCCAAAAAATCCACAGTCCTCTCCTTTGCTCCAGTGGAAGGCGAACTTTTGAAATGCCAGCTGTTCAAAATCTATTACGGCAGTCTATCTACGCCTGTCACAAGCGAAAGGAGCTAAATATGGGTCCCTATTTCTTTCTTAAATCGTTGTTGTACATGCTTACGTTGACATGTCTACAATGAAACTTTACAGCCTTATCAGGTCAAAAACATTATTTCATCTTACTTGAGTGAAGTGTTTCAAGATTTTGCCACTGGGTAATTCTATGGCTAGCATTTCAGAGGCGTACTAGTTTTAGGAGCGAGTCAAGTGGCCACAGAATATACCACAAGTGCCTGAAGTTAGGTCTACAATAATAACAAAAGTGATTTTTTTCAATTTCTAGAGTCAGATAGTCTGATGAGAATTGAATTTTAAAAAATTTCATTTGCACCATGGCTCAATTGCTCAAACCTACCTTACGACTGAGGAACTAAATATCCTGACATCCCCTTTTTCAGCAAAATTTCAAGCAGGTCATTTCTCTTGAGTTTGGAAGGTCTAGTATTGTAATGAAATAAACAATATTTCTGCTCTCACATATTGAATTTCAGCTCGCAGGAGACATTTATCTAACTTTACAATGTAAAACTCACTTATTTATAACAATGATGGTCGACTTAAAAAAAGTCGATCGAGAATCTAATTAATACACATTTCCAACAAAGTCAGAAAATGTGGATTTTAGTTTTTAGATAAAGAAGTCAACTTGCGTGGGGAAAAAAGACAAAATAAATTATATAATGAGAAATGATTCTCGTCGTCTGAAATTAAATATCTGCGTAATTGATTATCTCAAATATTTGTATAATCGAGCCATCGCAAGAAAATAAGGATGATGCTAAACAAAACATTAAGTGCGTTTTTGCGAATCTATGTGCAAACAATTTTCAAATAGAAGAGAAAAAACGAACAAGCAACAAGAGAGTGGAGAAGATTAGTAAATTAAAAAAAACCGTTGGTAAAAATAGAAAAACCATCACGGATGATTGAGCGACGAGGGCAAAGAGGCGGTTGCTACTCAAAATATTGAAATGCAAGCTCTAATATTGGGAAATGCTAGCAGCATGACCAATATTTGCAGAACCCAAGTAAGTCCTTGTATTCCAGAAATGATACCAGTATAATACTCTGATCATAGTACACGTAATGATAAATAGAGATGATGATAAAGCTGACAAAGATAAAAGCAAGTGAACACGAAAACCAACACATCTGGCGAAATGGGAAGCGAGCTTTCAGGCAAGTTGTTGTACTAAGATAATAAAAAGACTTTAAATTGAGCTTGGACATTTGCCCTTCGTTATTATTGCAAGTGAAGTCTTTATATCTTATAACGGAAGCAACAAGCTAAATTATTAACGCGGTTCATATGTTATGGGATCTTCATACAAAACATACAAGATACTTTTTCTTTCAAGTGGTGGTCATCAACTTATGAAAACTGCCGTCCCTAAATAGAACACCAAAACTAATCGCAAAACAAACTTAAGGAAAAGTTATTTAAGTACCGGCCACTTTCGAAATTCCGTAAGTGCTGATAAAATATTTTACCTTTCTTCAAGTATTTTCGATAACATTACTTCTGTTAAGTCTCTAGCTCTTTTGTTTCATTCAAGAATCAATATAAAATCCCAGTATGATGTTTGTATATTTTAATATCCCAAAAAAGAAAAATACTCCTTAAATGTGGGGTTTGTAAAGAGAGATTATGAAATGTGATTATGTGGCTTTCTAGCTTTTTTAGCTTGGACGCGTATGGTTCAGGGTTTTGAAGGCCGATGCTGAACACACGAATGATTTCAAGAAAATGTGTGACAACTACAGACCACTGTAAGATATGTAAGACCGCAAGGTTTGGTCCGTTAATTCTCACTAGAACAGTTATTTTAATTTTATATTTAGTTTTAAGACTGTAAAAATATGAAAATTATTTGTATGTGAACTGAGAATATCTGCGAAGATCGCATTCATACTGATATATTTAGTTTGTTAGTCAATGTGCTATTCTGTGTAATTTTAAAACTGAA